AAAATTTTATTGTTTCATTTTAATTGTTATTTTTAATTTTCAATACAACATTAATTAGCTATCTTCCTTAGAAGGGCATTTTAATACTTTAAACATATCTATACCTAAAATCAAAAGTAATTTATTACTTTTCTTAATTCTAGTGCTTCCTTTCAAAATGACTGGGTTTTCTTTCTTGTGCCAGCACAAGATAAATTCGTAATAAATGTATTATTTTGTAATTAATTTTTATTGAAAATGTGAATGTTGACTTCAATTTAATTAATTAATCAATTAAAGTCGTCCATTTGTCAATAATGTTAAAATATATGTTAATTTTTATAATATTTTATGTGAATTAATTAAAAAATACATTTATTGTATTATTAACATGTACTGTTAAAGAATAGGTTAGACAAACCCAATGACTAATAATGTGGAACATATGCCCAATATATATAATATTCAGTAACAAGGAGCCAATCTCAAGATATTAATATCTTCTGTTTTTTTTACTTTTGTATGGTTATATGATATTTAAACAAGACGCGTTTTTATTGAACCCTTAAATTAAAATTCATAAAAAATACAAAGGGGCTAACAAGCCACCCCAATAGATCTATCCAACCTATACTAGCACAAGCATTCACAAAATCACCTCCCTGATACATGATCGCATGAAATAATTAAAACGTAAAAGCCTTCCTTTGTACCCAAATTAAGCCTTCATTCAAATTGTTGCTTTCTTGGGCTTCTTTTGTTGAATGCCACAATCTACCCTGCGCGCCTAGCACCCGCCCCCAACCAAATCTACGCAAGGGCAACCAACCAAAATCAAAGCAAACCGCAAACCTCAACAACCCGCGCGCAATTTGTCTGCGGCGTCCTTTTTTTTTTTTTTTTAGATTGATAGATAGAATCTGTAAGGACAAAAAAAGATAGAAAATCTCAAAAAAAAAAAAAAAGTTTTTTTTAATAATTTCCTAGAGAGAGAGATTTCGAAAACTTAAATCTCAAGGAAAGAAAATCCTAATCCTACCTCTGGCAATGACGGACGTTGAGATGAAGACCTTAAAATAAAAGTTAGAAGATGATAGAGATAAAATCTTAAAATCATTTGGGAGCTAAATGTATATTTTTCAAACCATAAAAAAGTTACAAAGCACATTTTTATAATTTCGAAGATTAATTAAAGTGCACCCAAGCTAAATTAAAGGGGTGTAAGTGCAATTTATCCTAACTTTAATTAAGAAGTTTGACAAAATGTCAATCGAGAGCAGTAGCCTTAACGCCGCTCCGCCAGGACCGCCACTATTGATGACAGTAATTGGAATTTCATCACCTAGCTGGAGTTGGTCAAAATAGGCAACTGAATTTTGTCATCAACTCATCATCACATGATACGTATACCACTTTCTATCTTCCCTTCTTTGTGGTCATAAACCGTGGCATATCGTATTTAATTTCCTGTCTTTTTTCTTTTCTTTTTCAAAAAAATTGACATGGACTGAAGAAGGGAAGATCATGTTTGTTTTGAATTGAACATTGTGAATATCTTCTCAAAAAAAAAAAAAAATTATGAACATAAATATTGTGAGTTAAATAAGCGATCGAAACAAACACTTTTATTCCCAAAGCACTTTATTTTTAAGTGATTATTATTACATAACTTTATTCTGAGGGTATCATAATGGGCATGATAACGCAGTAATGTTGCTTCAGTCACCACAGTTCACAAACTGATAGTCCACAATAAGGTTCCCCCGAGCAATGCCGTTTCCATTAGTGTCAATCTGATTGAACACATTGGAATCCAGATCGAGTCCTCCATTGCTGCACTGATCCACAATTCTCACAGTTGCTTGAGCTTTAGTTTCAGTGTTAGTCACCTGTAACGCCCAAGAAAAACATTTATCATTACAACAAAATTGTCATATACTTACAAACGCTTTTTGTAGAAATTTCGCCTGACAACTCAGCTAATTCACTATCAACAATTTAAGTGGCTTAATAATTACTAATTTTCTCCCATTCAAATTATAGTCATGGAGATAGATAAAAGGATTAAAAAAATATCTCTTATTGCATTAAAAAAATAAAAAAATAAAAACAACTTACCAGCAAGCACTTGCCACAAGCCTCTTGTCCTCGAGGACCAACGGGCCCGCAGAAGGCGGTCCAACCGTACTTCTGGCGCCATGCCAAGGGCTTATTCGCGTCCCATGTTGAGCAGAAGGCACTCACAGCATTCAAATCCCAGTTGTTCTGTTGAGGGTTGTAGAAGTGGTAAGTAGCTCTCACATTAGAAGCACTTTGGGCGGTGGCACCTGCCACAAGAAAGGCTAGAAACACCAAACTTAAGGTCACTCTCCCCATTTTTTTGCAGTTTTGATGCTTGAGATGACCCCGGGTACCTGAATTTATAGGGCAAGATTTCATATGAAACTACAGAATTACCCTTATCGTGTTTTGGAATCAACCTTGACTTTTCTTGGTCCATTTTCTTGAATTTTATCCTACTGGAGTAGAAGAAATTAGTTAATTAATTGGTGATGTGTGATTGGAGAAAAACGTTTACCAATCATATTTTTAAAAAATTAGATAAAAAATATTTTAAAATTGTATTATTTTAATATTATTTTATTAAAAATAACTTAAATATCTTAATCTTAAAATAAAAATAAAAATTTTTAATTTTTTTTTCCTATTATCCTTTTTTAAAATGACAATTTTTTAAAAAAAATTAAATTTTAATAAAAAATTAGATGGCCTCCCTAGGTTTTCTCTCATGCACTACTTTTAGGGTTAAAAGCTATGGTGGCGAGTTTTCCTCCTCAAGGTTTTTCTTCAGTAAAGGAGTTCCTTCATCCCTCCTTTCTTCTTACCCCTCCCTTCCTCCTCTTGATCTCCTCTTTCATCTTGTCGCTGCCTTGCTTTGGAAACTCCAACCCAAGGGACCATAAGGCAGCAGCATATTTGGGTTTTTTAGAGTTTACATCTATTGATTTTCAAAGGCTACGATTGGCATTGATCTTGCCAATAAAGTGGCTTTCTCCTATTTAACAAGTGAGAATCTCGCTTTGGTGCATTTCCTTGGATGGGATCTTGGCAGGGATCAAATTCGGTGAAACTAGTTCACATCAGTTCCCGATCAATTAGCCGATTGTAGAAGGACAGGGATGTTATTGGTAAAGCCAACTATGGTCTGCGTGGGAAGCTTGCTATTCAAGTTGGCAAAGGGGCTCTAGTCCCCTTATTGAGTTTCAATAGCATGGGTTTGAAGAGAATCAGCAACGATGGGGACATGACTGGGTGTATATGGAGGCGATTGGGGGCCTTGTGTTTGTCTAGAAAAGACCCCTCTTGTTTGTTCTTCTTTAAGAACAAGTAGGGTGGCAACTTGTGGTTGGGGACTATTTGTTTGCCAAAATCCTTTACTCTCCCTAAGAAACTGGTTAAATAGGTGAGAATGTCTAGTAGTTCTTAATTCTCATAGTGACTCCCCTTTCTACTTTAGTAGCTCTATTTAGTCTATACAACGATTGTAATTTCAATCTCTAGTTGCAGATGGTTCTCTTTACTTAATTATCTACATCCATCATGGGTATAATTTAAATCTGTTATTAGTGTTGTAAGTTATGCTTTTGATTTTATCTTTAAGCTATTTTGCTTTTGATTATAATGTCATAAAATGAAGATTCTGTTGTAATTTTTATTACTTAATATATTTTTCTATTTTCCATCAAAATGACATTTTTAAATTTTTTCATCTTTTTTTTTTTAAATTCAACTAATAAATACTAATTTTATACAAGTTTTTAAAAAAAATTTATCGACTCACTCCATAATTTATGATATCATCATTGAATTTTTTTTCTTTTTCTAATAGGCAAAAATAATACATTAAAGTTATAATCATGAGTAAAGGATACTCCAACCTGTGCAAATCTTTCGCTAACCCTCCTTTAATAAACAATTATACCAAATTAGTTCTTCAAGAAATCCTACCCTTTACTGGGGACAGCCTGTGCCCGTTGCATGCACCAGTCCATGAAAGTGAAACTTTATTAGTCCCTCAAATTTTCTTCCACACCATAGAAAGGATCTTACTTGCACTAAATCAAATAGCTTTTCTTCATTAATTGCTTGGTGTGGTTGCAAATTACTCCATTCGTGCATTAAATTTAGTCTGGTTGGCATAAAGGCTCAAAAACTCTCAGAAATGGATGGGAAACGTTATGGTACGCCATTTTGTGGTCACTATAGTTGAGTAGAAATGAAGCCATTTTTCAACAGAAGAAGCTTAAAATGGATGAGCTATTTGAACTAGTTCAAATTCATGCTTTTCACTGGATAAAAAATCTGTTAAATCTTGAAAATTTTTCTTTCATAAAATGAATTTCTAATTCAGTGAGATGCCTGACTAACAACAAATAGAGATTTGATGAGAGGAGTGGCGGTTCATGACCCTCGGCTTGGGCTAATATGTGATTTGTTTTTTGAGCCCAATTATACTGTTTATTTTATTTTTTGTTGTTTTATAAGTTTGAGTATCATTTGTACTTACATAATAAATTTAATTTACTTTTCATAAAAAAAAAATTAGTCTGGTTGACCATTTTTTCTAATGAGTTGCAATGTAAAAGCATTTACCTTGGAGGGGCTGATTGGATACCACATCGTTTTAGATAACCCATGATTGGCGTTGTTCCGAGCCGGTAAAGTTTCGTTGTAAGCTGATTTTGCGGAGTAAACACCGTTTCTTTCATGTATTTGAATAATAAACTTATTATTATATTTTTTGGTTTAATATATTTTATAATATATTTATTAAAAAATTATTATTTTTTAACATAAAATTAAAAATAAAAAATTTAAAATATAATTTTATATATAAGATATAAGAATTAATTAAATTAATTATAATTATATTATATTTTAATAATTAAATTAAACAAATACCAAAAAATATATCCAACTAAAGAGTATACATCTATTATTTTTTAACACTGGTGACCAATATTCGTTTATTAATAACGCCGGCGTGGCCTGTGGGTTTTGGGGGATCCAGATATCTCCTAAACTTTTAAAAAATATTTAATATGATTCACTCATTTTTATTTT